TATCAATTAAAACACAAATTCAAACGATTTGTTTCAAAGTTTTTAATTTGTTTTACTATTGCTTTTAGATATTTGTTTTGTTGTATTCTTTGCGGAGAAATAGAGATAATAAGAGTAACTGAAAGAACTGGAGGGTCGACGACGACACCAATACTACTGATACACACATCAATCAATGATGTGGTTTATAGACCACGCCCTGTGCGGGTGCGCCCACCGGCGGCGTCGGAAGCAGCAGATTCTGAGGCGGAGTGACCGCGTAGTCGCCGATCATAAGCGAATTGTTGACCGGAAAGTTGGCTGAATTGAGTACAGACGTCACCTGCGGTTGTTGTTGTTGTGGAGTATTTGCGGTGAATAGTGACGGCGATATACCGCCGCCGATAGAGCTGGTGGGCACCTGACCGCCGGTCATCTGCTGTATGCGAGTGTGCGGACTCGTACGGCTCGTGGCGTTGGGCGACGGCAGTGATCCCAAGTTTATCATTTGGTTTTGATGGAGGGCTGGCATCACATTAGCCGTAATCATGTGATGGCTGTTCTGCTGGTGATGAGTGCCGTAGCCGTTGTTCGGTTGTATTTGCATATTATTGATCTCAATGACCGATGGATTCATTTGCTGCCCAGTGTTGCCGTTCATAACCACCATTCCGTTCATCACGTTGTTTGCCGGTTGTGTGGCGTCCAGTGTTTGCCAGTACTGTTCGCTCGGCGATTGTTCGTTACATCCGGGCGGCGGTTGTGGCGGTTGACCCGTATATCTGAAGTATGGATTCTTGAGGTCCAGCGAATTGGAAACCCTATCGATTCGACCGAAGTTCTCGACACTCAGCTCTATATCCACGTTATAGCTCTGCCTCTTATTCGACGACAGAACCACTCGACCCGTAAGTGTTTGTCCTCTTTGCACAAACAGCGGTGTGTCGACCAAACATCGCACCTAATCATCGATTCGTACGGTTATTATTCAGTCAAATATCAAGTAAAATAGTTATCGATGAATGAGTGCATACCTGATACCAGTGTGTGAGCGGTTGTGTGGGCGAAGTGGACAGCCATACGGTCTGTTGTGAGCCAAAGAAGGCCACGTCGAACCAAAAGGCCAAACCGTGCACTTCGTCCGTCTGATGCATAACAAAACTGACGGGTATTTCAATGCGATGCAAGTCTTTCTCATTGGCTTTCGTAAAATCAACGGTATATCGGTATGACTTCGCCGTACATATCCTCACGTCAAACGTGTCCACAACGGGCTGATAGAAGTACTCCTTGAGTGCCGCCGACCGCAGGCTCGAGAGGTCCACTCCATGGAAGTTCTGTTGGAACCAGAAGTTGGCTTTTGTTAGCTGTTTGGACACAAACATAACGGTTAGAAATTGCGAGAAAAAGGCTGTGATATTATGGGATGCGATACCTGTTCGACGTAAAGCTGCGAATCACTGAACGGCGCGATATGGAGGTCACCCCGCGATGGAAACATCTTGCCGTTGGGCGCCAACCACTTCTTCGCGTGCAAATAGGTTTCCAGCATTCGTTCGTTGAACAACATATAGCCCATCGGTTCCGAGATAATGATGTCCACCGATTCGGGAAGCGTTATCTCTTCGATCTTACCGGCGATCACTTGTATTCTGTCACTCAGTTTATTGTTATAGACTAAACACTCGGCGTGTTTGGCCATCGACGAGGCCTCCACGGCGTACACCTTTCGGGCGCCCGCCTGAGCGGCGAAGAACGAGAGGATACCACTGCCGGCGCCGACGTCGAGCACCACTTTGTCCTTGAAGTCGTCAATGTTGGCCAGAATCGCCCGTTGATAAGTAGACGTCCGGATAAAGTCTTGCATCATATTCTGCTGCTGCGAGAGATAGCCGTAGAACTGGAAGTACTGCGAGGCCGACGACTCGTCCGTTCGCTCGGAAAACACCGACTCTTTGCGGCCAAACTTGAAATCGGAGACAAGTTTAGCAAACGTCTGGAGATCGGCGTCGCCTGTGGTCGACGTCGGCGGACGTTGTCGTTGGGATTGTCGGCCGGAAAACACTAACACAATGGTCTTCCCGTTGTCGGTGATGGCGAACCCGTGGGCGCCAAAGGCCGCGGTCTCCGAGTCCTTGAATATTTCGATATCACATAAACTGTTTGTGTCGGACGAGTGGTTGGGTTTGCAGCGGACCAACAGATTGTCCGACTCGTCGATCACTTGTATTCGTACGACACTTCCGGCGGCCGTTTGCGGCGGGAATTTGTCTCTCAACGCCAGCGTCTCTTCAGACAGTTCTTTGACGATCACGTCGTCAAAGAGGACAGCCATGGCTTCAAACGGATTATACGGTCAACAACTAGTGTCCGATACGACGGGTGACCAGCGGTGGCGGCGATGGCAACGGCGGTGACGATTGTCTGGTCGTGCGGTCACGTGGTCTTCACAATCAGTGACAATGTCTTTGTGTTGACAACAACTACCAGAAGAAGACAACGGCTAAAGACGGCGACAATATATTGACGACAACTAACGCTTCATTTGTGTGAATGAATGGCTTTTATGTATAGTTTATAATAAAAACGTGAATTCAAACGACAATTAAGTTGTTGTTTACGGCAATCGTTGACTCGTTTTAATCGTAAACAACACTAAATAATTGTATTGAAAACAGCGATAGACAGACAATACATACAATACAAGCACTTAATTGTTTCCACACAACAAAAACACACAATGAGAGGGGGAGAGCACTCTATGCCTCCATACAGTCTACGCTCGCTAATGGTAACCACTCTATCCAAATGTGTGGCCCTATTAGCGATGTCATCTGTTTTCTCGCTTTACACGCGTGTATAGTGTGGTGTGAATTATGCCATAATTGTGTGCATTAATTAATTTTTGGCACAGATTTTAATTAATTTTGTCATTTGTGTTGTATTTATAACGCGAAGAGCGCCTGTATTTCATTTATTAAAGCGGAGCGATTCACACATTACGTTACGATTCAAGTTTTGACTTTTGTTTTTTATGGTACCGGCGTTTCTGACAATCGGTGTATTATTACATGTGATCCATATTGTAGTGACCAATAGTGACCATCTGGTCGTGTTTGTGACACTACAGGCCATCCCTAGAAATATAGTCCATTCTTAGCACTTATTTTATCTTAAAATCAACGATTATGTGATACAGACATAGCGTTACAATTGATATGCATTCACTCAAATTGATATGATTTTGGACTCAAATCTGGTTTAAATTACAAATAGTTATCTCAATTATAAAGGGGTAAAACGGCAGATGTTAGTTAAACAATATGCAAACATTTATTTGCACTAATTGTGTAATGAATAATGTTCCGGGTAAATCTTTGAATTTTTTTAATACTTTTAATAAAGGCATTCATATATAACGTATGTTTAAAAGTCTCGGTCGTAATTATTTCTAATTGTTTGAATTTTACTGAATTACCTATTTATGCAATTAAATAAAAATAAGCTAGATTCAAAACAACGTACGTCCAGTTGTGTCACATTAATTAAGTAATAGGGCGGGAGTTAGGGATTAATAAGGGTTATGACTTGGAGTAGGGAGTAGTGAGAGCGCGTGTCTAATACAGCTTTATTTAGTGCAATACATAGGNACTACCAGAAGAAGACAACGGCTAAAGACGGCGACAATATATTGACGACAACTAACGCTTCATTTGTGTGAATGAATGGCTTTTATGTATAGTTTATAATAAAAACGTGAATTCAAACGACAATTAAGTTGTTGTTTACGGCAATCGTTGACTCGTTTTAATCGTAAACAACACTAAATAATTGTATTGAAAACAGCGATAGACAGACAATACATACAATACAAGCACTTAATTGTTTCCACACAACAAAAACACACAATGAGAGGGGGAGAGCACTCTATGCCTCCATACAGTCTACGCTCGCTAATGGTAACCACTCTATCCAAATGTGTGGCCCTATTAGCGATGTCATCTGTTTTCTCGCTTTACACGCGTGTATAGTGTGGTGTGAATTATGCCATAATTGTGTGTTTTAATTAATTTTTGGCACAGATTTTAATTAATTTTGTCATTTGTGTTGTATTTATAACGCGAAGAGCGCCTGTATTTCATTTATTAAAGCGGAGCTCTTCACACATTACGTTACGATTCAAGTTTTGACTTTTGTTTTTTATGGTACCGGCGTTTCTCACAATCGGTGTATTATTACATATTATGGATATTGTAGTGACCAATAGTGACCATATGGTCGTGTTTGTGACACTACAGGCCATCAGCCGTATAAATATAGTCCATTCTTAGCACTTATTTTATCTTAAAATCACTGATTATGTGATACAGACATAGCGTTGCAATTGATATGCATTCACTTTATTGTCATTAATTTTGGACTCAAATCCGGTTTAAATCACAAATAGTTATCTCAATTATAAAGGGATAAAACGGCAGAAGTTAGTTAAACAATATGCAAACATTGATTTGCATTAATAGTCTAACGAATAATGTTCCGGGTAAATCTTTGAATTTTTTTAATACTTTTAATGAAGGCATTCATATATAACGTATGTTTAAAAGTCTCGGGTAAAAGTCTCGGTCGGAATTATTTCTAATTGTTTGAATTTTAATGAATTACCTATTTATGCAATTAAATAAAAATAAGCTAGATTCAAAACAGCGTACGTCCAGTTGTGTCACATTAATTAAGTAATAGGGCGGGAGTTAGGGATTAATAAGGGTTATGACTTGGAGTAGGGAGTGGTGAGAGCGCGTGTCTAATACGGCTTTATTTAATGCAATACATAGGGAGTCGGTTTGACAGGCATTGATCACACGTCTAGTCTGACGGGGGATAAGGGGATAGAGAGTGTGTGTGTGACGGACGCACTGTATCGGCAATGCATTGTATTCAACGGTTAAGAGTACAGTGAGTGCGTCGCTCGAGAGGGAGAGTTAGCACCAACGCTGTGAACGTAGGGAACGGTTTGAGCGGCCATTAGAGGCATAGACTGTGCGATAGAGTGTGTGTTGTGTTGGGAAGAGTAGTGGTGTTTGAGCTGCGAATCGATCGTTCATTTTGTGCTCGACTTGACTGTCGAGTGTTGTGTTGTTTGTGGTGTTTGTGTCAAACATACCA